ACAATCTCATTTCTTGGAGTGCCAAAAAGCAACCTACTGTCTCACGCTACAACTGTGAATCTGTGTATCATGCTCTTGCCACAACTGCTGCTGAACTTCTTTGGGTTACGCATCTTTTGCATGACCTCAAGGTCCCTATTTCACAGCAACCCTTACTCTTATGTGACAACAAAAGTGCTATCTTTTTTAGCTCTAATCCCATTTCTCGCAAGTGGGCCAAACATGTTGAACTAGATTATCATTTCTTTCGATAACTTGTTATCTGGCAAACTTTGCACACAATATATACCTTCTCATCTCCAATTTGCTGACATCTTCACAAAAAGTATTTCTCGGCCTCTCTTTGAATTTTTCAGATCCAAGATTCACGTTCGTTCAAATCCGACGCTTAGCTTACGGGGGTGTTAAGGATAGTTGATCGTTCATTATAAGGCAAATATCTACATTACGGCTTACCATATTTGCCCTTTTATTATAAATAAGAGAACTCTCACCAGCGTTTAGGTGCGGTGGATTCAACAAATATTCACACCTCCGAATTTTTTGGTAGCGCCGCGTGGTGTGCTCTAGGAGCTTCTCTAGACATATGTATAAAATCACACCATCCAAACCCTCTAAAAAAAAATAGCATTATGCAAAAAATTGAATTGTCGATATCTTTGGATGCTGCAATGAGGATAAATTTAACATGTATGTTCAATAGTAATCCACCACCAAATAGTTCTGCACTTGAGCCATTTTTAAGATCATTTTAGATCATTTTTAGATCATTTTAGATCATTTAAAGCATTATGCGAAAAAATTGAGTTATAGTTAATAATTTTTGTCTGATATTGTGAGGCAATGTTCAAATTTGATAAATTTGAACATATATGTTTAATAAATCCCACTCAGAAAATATTTTGGCTCCCGGGCCATGTCCATGTCTCCTTCTTAATTGGCACTAGACCACATCTCTCAAAATGTCGTCGTTTCATCAAACATGAACAGCTTGAGGAAGTGAGATTTATTTTATCGTCTTTCTTTTCCTATTCAGCAAATCAATTAACAGAAACCCGTTGGTTTTAATGAACAGATAAATATCAATTATTGTTGAACTATTTTTGTGATTTCCAGTTTGGATCTCTGAAGATTCTGTTAACTATAATAACTATTCATAGACCTTAGAGATGTCTCTGTTTTCACCGTGAACTTTGCTACGTAACAAATTTCCAAACAAGGAAAATGAAACCCAACACACAACACAGCTGGTTTTGAGAACTGAACAAATCTTCGTTGTCTTTGTTTTTATTCCCTTGATGCGTGTATTGGTTGTAGGAAACAACTTATCGAGCCAAACCCAATTGAAAAGACGCCAACTTTGAAGCAGAAACTCCAAACACTCTTTGTTTTTCCATTTGTTCTTGTTCCTTCGGATCTTCTTGCCTGTGTCGTGTGGTCGGAGAGAAGAAGAATATGCCGCTGATTAAGCATAACTCCGCGACAAATGGGACGAATCAAATTTGTTTTTCTCTGTTGCCTTTCGTAAACTCAGATGGTTTGTGGGCAAAGGTTCATAGCTATCATTGGTGGCTCAACAGTTCCTTGCCTCTCTTGGAATTACAGTTGGTTGTGTTCGGTTTGGTGATGACAACTATTCAGCTGCTTCTCAAGCGTCTTGGGGCCTCCAAAATTTCCTCTCAAATTATGGTAACTCTACACATTCCATATATTAGGTTAATACCGTTAAATACATGAATACTACCCATTTGAGCATAGCTTAACGGTTAAAACATCGATAATAAATGGAACCCTTTTAATGATTTGATGATGTTTGCAATTGAAACAGACTGGTATGATATTTGGTTGTTCCTGGGGCACGTTTGACGAAGCAAAATTCAAGCTTTTTAGGATTGACAGTGAAGAGGTCTTGGGATTGCTATCATATTTCGGCTACACGCTATATTTGTTCATAACAGCAGTCAAAATGGATATCAGAATGACTAAGCAAACAGGCAAGAAAGCATGGATAATTGGAATGCCTTCAGTTCTTGTGCCTCTATTTTGTGGTCTTTTTGTGTGTTCTTTTCTCCACAAAGGCCTAACTGTTGCCGAGATAAGAAAGCTCCCATTAATGACTTCACTGCAAAGTATGATCTCATTTCCAGTGATTGCCTCACTTTTAAATGAGCTGAAAATCGTGAGCACAGAACTTGGTCGTTTGGGGCTGTCCTCAGCCTTAGTTGCAGACATATTCAGCCTAACTTCTTTGTTAATTACAAAACAACTGACACGAGAGAGTGCTGCAAAAGTGTATTATGCATTTGGAGCATTGTTTGTTCAAGTTTTTTTGGTGTCATTTTTGTTTAGGCCTGCAGTGCTTTGGATTCTGAAACAAACACCTGAAGGGAAGCCAGTGAGCCGTGGTAGTACCCAAGGAGTTTTTGTTATGGTTCTGCTTTCTTCTATGACATCTACTGTTTTGGGGCACTCAGTATTCTTAGGGCCTTATTTGTTGGGATTGTCCATGCCTGATGGAGGCCCTGTGGGATCTTCTTTTGTTGAGAAGGTGGAATCCTTTGTTTCAGATTTTTTCGTGCCACTGTTTGCCATTACTTGTGCTCTCAAGGTGGATTTGTCCAAGCTTTTCATAGCATATGGGACTGCTTTTACAAGAGTTACCGTAATTGTTGCCATTATAACTTGGGTAGTCAAATTCTCGTGTGTCTTTCTTGGTTCATTGTATTGTCAGCTGAGCTCTAGAGATTCCTTGGTGCTGTCCCTCATTCTCAGCTGCAAGGGTGTTGTTGAGTTGGCCTTTACCTCACTCTACACTGAATACAGAGTATTTTCTCTGTTTCTCTCTACTTTTGTTGTTAATTGTGTAAGAACCTTGTCTTATTTCTTGTGGGGTTTGGCTGATTTTGCAGGTTATCAGCGAAGGGACGATGGGGTGGATCACATTTTTCATATTCATTCTTGCAACCTTTGCGCCAATTGGAGTGAAATGCTTGAATGACCTTTCAAGGAAACAAGCAAGCAATCAGAACAGGAGCATCATGCACATGAGCCCCAACTCGGAGCTGAGAATCCTTGCTTGCATTCACAAAAACGAAAACATCTATGGCTTGATTCATCTTTTGAACATCACATGTCCAACCCCAGACAACCCCATCTCGGTTTATGTGCTCCATCTGATCGCGCTCGTGGGGCGGTCGAGCCCCGTGTTCATTTCCCACAGACAGGAAGACAAGCCAATTGGGGACCAACCGGCCTACTCAGAAAATGTCATCGTTTCTTTTGAGCACTTGGAGCAGGAAAATTCAGGCGCAGTGTATGCTGAATGCTTCACCACAATCTCACCAAGCAAGTTCATGCACAACGACGTATACAAATTGGCAATGGACAAGTTCACATCCCTCATAATATTGTGTTTCCACAGGACATGGACAAGTGATGGGCTGATAGACCAAGAGGACAACACAATGAGACATTTGAACTGCAGTGTTATTGAGAAAGCGCCTTGCTCGGTGGCCATTTTGGCTGACAAAGGGCGTTTAGGGAGCCTGGCTTCCATGGCATCAGTAGGACGTGGGAAGTGCAAGTATTCAGTCTGTGTGATATTCATGGGAGGGAGAGATGATCGAGAGGCCATTTCATTTGCAAAACGAATGGCAAGTGACTCGGAGATTGATCTAACAGTCCTGAAACTTGGGTCGGCAGTGGATGATGGGTCCAGCAAATGGGACAAGATCCTTGACTCTGAGGTGATTAAGGACTTCAAAACGACATTCTTGGGGGATGGGAGGGTGACGTTCATAGAGGAAGAGAGTGAAGATGGGCCTCAAACAGCGTTGAGACTCAGAGAAATAGTGAATCAATATGATCTGATGATCGTAGGAAGAAGAAAAGGGTTGGAGTCATCATCGCCTCAAACTTCAGGGCTAAGTGAATGGAATGAGTTTCCAGAGCTTGGAGTTCTTGGGGATTTGATTGCATCACTTGATATCAACACAAGAACTTCTGTCTTGGTAATACAACAACAGAAGTAGTAATATATACTTCATTTCATCATCCCACTATCCCACTCCTCAACACAAGTAGATCCCCAATTTTTTTTATGAGTTCATTAATGGGAAACTTCTTTCCTAATGTATTGCATTTATCTCTCAATTCTTTCCTAACCATCCTTTTTTTTTTTTTTACATTTGGTTTGGGTACTAATGTTTAGTAATTTTTTAATGATAAAAAAAAAAGATGTGAGCTTCTGCAAGGATGCATAGCCCCAAAAGGGGTGGATTGTGAGATCCCACGTCTATTGAAGGAGGGAACGAGTGTCATCCTGAAGATGGGTGGATTGTGTGATCTCACATCCATCGGAGAAGGAAACGAGTGTCACCCTGAAGGTGGGTGCATTGTGAGATCCCACATGCATTGGAGAAGGGAACGAGTGCCACCCTGAAGGTGGGTGCATTGTGAGATCCCACATCCATTGGAGAAGGGAACGAGTGCCACCCTGAAGGTGGGTGCATTGTGAGAATTGTGAGATCCCACATCCATTGGAGAAGGGAACGAGTGCCACCCTGAAGGTGGGTGCATTGTGAGATCCCACATGCATTGGAGAAGGGAACGAGTGCCACCCTGAAGGTGGGTGCATTGTGAGATCCCACATGCATTGGAGACATTGGAGAAGGGAACGAGTGCCACCCTGAAGGTGGGTGCATTGTGAGATCCCACATGCATTGGAGAAGGGAACGAGTGCCACCCTGAAGGTGGGTGCATTGTGAGATCTCACATCCATTGGAAAAGTGAACTGGAAACCTCTCCGTAGCAAACACATTTTAAAATCCTAAAGATGAAACTCGGCCTCAAATAGGACAATATCGGAAAAGTAAATCACATAGGACTAAGGCTAGGAATAAGGCACGTGCGAGTCTCTATAAGCGAATACGGGCCGAGTTGAGAAGAAAATCCAACCAAAAAAAAAAAATAGTTGGAAATAAAATTTGAAATTTTTGTGGCCCAAAACCTGAATCCAAACAGTTTCAGCTTCAGATACCTTCCCCCAAACAAATCCTTCTCCATTCTTCTCTTCTTCCCTCTCTGTCTCTCCCTTTCCCGCCATGAAATGGGACATGGAAATCGAGGAAATCGAGGTTATCCTCGAGAAGATTTGGGACCTTCACGATAAGCTCAGTGAAGCTATTCACTCGATTACCCGAGACCACTTCCTCACCTCCACCCAAAATCTCAGGAAATCCGACACCAAGGATTCCAAGTCCCCCAGTGACCGACCCACTCACAACCCTGCTGGCCCCTCCCCTTTCGTCAGGGACTTCCGGATCCACGTCGATGATTCAGCTATCCAGGAGGCCAGAAGTCTAAACGCCATTCGAACTGCGCTTGAGAATCTCGAAGATCAGCTTGAATTTTTCCATGTATGTTGATTTTTTGCCCAATTCCGTGCGCTTCTTTTAATTAATTAACGCCTATTCTATTTCTTATCGATGACGAATTTGACGGAAGAGACAACAGGAAATCCTTGTTTCGATCCTTTTGGGGGATCCATTATTACCCGAATCAACAGATTATGTACTGTTAGCTTGGTTTGCGGTTTAATTCAGTGTTCTTACCTCCCAATCGGAATTACATCTTTAATTTATGATTTTATGTGTTTTCTGCTCTCTGAAAAATTGAAAACAGGAATCTTAAATTCATTTTCCTTAATTTGTGTTCAACGCCATTGTTCAATTAGCTTAAAGATGGGAATGTGTTAATTTCTTGTCGCGTCTGTTTGTCTTGGTCTCTGGTTATTGTAAGCTTTTTGTTGTTCCATCATTTAGAGGGTTAAGCGGGAAAGAAAGCTTGCTGTTGAGATAATTTGAATGCAATAGTTATGTTACTTGGTCTTGTTTCAACTTCTAAATCATGATTCAGGGAGCTTTACAGGATGTTCCTTTTTCATTTTTTCATTAAGATTATACGCTAAGCCGAACTATCTAGCAATTGTGTGTCAATCAGAATGTCAATACAGCTACAAATTTTCTATTTTAATGTTCTTGAAGCCATAAGTGTTCTTGAATTTCTTACGGCTGTTTAGGATGGTTTCCAGAAAAACGAAGTTGTCTTCTATGAATGAACTGCTTTTTAGATCAATGGAAGTTTGTCATCCCTGCAGAAATCATGGGCAGATACCAAATTTTTACCAGTCATTTAGTGATTAGTTAAAACAAGCTCAGCAAATTGTTTCAAAGACAATCTTCTGAACAAGGTTGAGTGTGAGATCCTACATTGGTTTGAGAGGGGAACGAAGCATTCCTTATGAAGGTGTAGAAACCCCTCCTTAGTATACGCGTTTTAAAATCATGAGGTTGACGGTGATACATAACAGGCCAAAGCGGACAATATGTACTAGCGGTGGATTTAGGTTGTTACAAATGTTGTTAGAGTTAGGCACCGAGCAGTGTGCCAGCAAGGATGCTGGGTCCCAAGAGGGGTGGACTGTGAGAACCCACATCGGTTGGAAAGGGGAACGAAGCATTCCTCATAAGGGTGTGGAAACCTCTTCCTAATAGACGCATTAAAAAACCGTAAGACTGATGACGTTACGTAATGGGCTAAAACGAACAATATCTGCTAACGATGGACTTGGGCTATTACATTGAGTTTCTTCTTCATATTCATAGGACGAACAAAACATAGATACTTAGCGTAGAGAAGACCTTTAATGCAAACATAGATGCTTCAGTTTGAAATGAAAGCAGTAATGAACAGCATTCTTTTATTTCTTCTTGCCTGTGGGGTTACGATGATAAGTATTTCATTAGGGGGAACATATTATTTTTTGTCTTGACAATCTCTTTGGCGAATTCATTGTTTCGATTTTGCAGACCGTGCAAGTGCAACAACAGGTTGATAGAGATGCTGCTATTGCACGACTAGAGCAAAGTAGGATTGTTCTTGCAATGAGATTGGCCGAACATCATGGCAAGAACTATAAAGTCATCAGTGAAGCCTTAGCGTTTGTTGGAGATGTACGTTATCCTGCTAACTATGCTTCGCATGGGAAACAAGATGCTCCACCATTTACCCCAAATTGTGAGAAGCTTGCATTGAACAGTTCAAAGAGGTCTAATATTGTTGTCAAGATGCTATTCTCAACTCTCGACATTGCGAGAAAATCCCTCAAAATGGATAATGTGGGCGGGATACTTGGCAATGCTGCCCTGGTTGCAATCAGCATGCTTGCATTTCTGCATATGCACCATATAGCATACAAGGAGCCATCACCTGAGAAAGACGATATTCCCTTCAACAGAAATCTTCAGAGAACATCTCGGCTCGAAGGATCTTCCCCGAATGAAGATTTCCGCAACTTCGACGTGTTATCAGCTAGGGGTTAGTGTGAATATATTAAACTTTTCAAGCTTTGATGCATCTCTTATCTGCTTCACTAAATGTCAGCTGCTTATCCTGTGGAATGAGTCAAATATGATCATGTCTGTTGTATGAAAATTATTTGATTTAGTTGTTAGAAGTTTCATCACCATTCTTGAGGTTGTCATGTGTAGTGGATGATAGAGAGTTTTAAGTCTTCTCCATTGAGTTGTTCAACAAACAAACCTTTAGTTCAAGATTTGTGAAGTGATCAAGTAAAGGACATGTCCATTGGGCCTGAATACAATTCTCTCCCCCATTAGATCCTGACCTTGAGAGACCCAAACCCATAATGTAGAACAACTAGATTAGGGTCCATAAGAACAAATGAAGAAATGATTGAACGTGGGTCAATATGAACTGAAGAAGCTAACTGTTTATTCAGAAAACCAAATCTTCTTTGACCACATGTGGAACCATGATATTGTTATGTCGGCCGGCCAAGTGTTTGATGTTGATTTGTAGCCATGTCCGGTGAGGCTTTCTTTGATTTGTTTAATTTGAAAGCCTGCATGCATCACTCTTCAATCTCACCCCATGAATCACTCCCAAATTTCTCTTTTACTACAAAACAGAACATTCCTTTCTGTCCACATCAAAAATCTTTCCACAGATCCTTCTATACATAATGCTGCATTTCAAATTCCCTCTTTCTTTCTTTCTTTTTTTTTTGCATATTAGGGTTAGTTTTTTTTTATCCTCGCTCGGCTAGTGAACCTTAAAGTCAAACTCCCTTCTCGGTAAGTTGATCTTTATAGTCAAAGCATATATCTAGTTCGGAAAAGCCCTTGCTTACCACTATTTGAGAATTATCATTTGAAAGGATGATTTCGTCCTCTTAAAAAAAATGAAATCAAATCTTCGTGAGACAATTTGATTGAATTTTTGTTCTTTTTTAATATGGAGTTTGAAATTAATGATTCGTGTGTGTTTATTCAAATGGCTAAATAAAGTGAAACACCATATTTAAAATGTGAAAGCTATAATTTGGAAGAGAGAAACAAAAATCCACCAACAAAGACATTGAAGTCCCGTTCCCACATAGACCCTTTTGTTGTCGGAGCCAAATCGTCCCTTGCATTCATTACTCCAGTGATATTAATTTTAAATTTGTCAATTTATTAATATAATGTAAGCCACGTGTCGAGTTATTAGGCATGCTGACTATTGATGATACTGCCACGTGGAGTAAAATTAGGGGACAAATGTAATTGGGGTGCAGGAACCCTCCATACACCTTACATGTTACTTATCTGACACCATTTCTTCCTGTTTTCTCCTCCTTTAATTATATACCTTTTTTTTCCATTTTATTTGGGCCCCCCTAGAGCGGGGTTTTTTTTTTTTTTTTTTTTTTTAATTTATGAATATGTGGGGCAATTCTATCAAAATTCAATGCATTTTACCAAAAGGGTCATAATAAAAATCTTTTTTTTTAAAAAAAAAAGGACCAAATTTCAATAATTAACCCTACAATAAACTCTAGTTTTTCCTTTTTTTTTTTTTTTTTGTTAGTATTAGATTTTTTATAAAAAAAATAGATTAAGAAATTTGCTCACATGTCACATTGACCTATGATAATAGAGACATATTTCGTAGGTCCCACATTTGGTTGCCGTAAGTTGAACTTTGATCCGGTCGACCCAAACCGGACCCCACAGATTTGTGAATGGAGATCAAAATCCCATGGCCGAAAGCTTCTTGATTTCCACTAATTAAGCATGAGCCTCGGGTTTTGTGACTGAACCCGGCCCTACAAACCTCCGGGTCAACTATCTGACCGGGCCTACCCTTGTGGGTCCTGTACCATTCCGGGTCAAATCAACCTCAGCCCAAATATCGTTGGTTTTTTTCTTTTTTGGAAAAGTTTATCATGGTTCATTTAATGTAAATTATTATTGCAAACTCTTCCTCTTTAACTTTTCGATGTTTTCAGATTGTTAAGAAGATGCGACTGACAAATCACATCCAATTTTTGTTTCATACTAAAGTCTTCCATGTTAATTCTTTTCGACCAATTTAGATCATAAAATTATTTGGTTGCATTATTTTTAAAAAGTGATTCTATTAATTAAATTTCTTTTTTTTTTTTTTACATATTTGGAAGATTTTCATAATAATAATTAATCTATATTTATAATAATAATAATATGATTTTTTTAAAAAAAATATTACGCCAAAGAATATATCTTTAATTATAACTTATCATAAAACTCACGTCACATTTTAAATTTTGTGATTAACAAATATGTAAATTCGACGTTATCTATGTCAAAAATGAATCGAACCGAAGAATCCCGTACACTTTTATCGAAAAAGATTAGGAAAAGTTTGAGGTGATGATAAACAAATACCACTTGGAATATACAAACCTAACCCAAGCTAGCATTGGGAAAGGAGTAATAAGGTGTGTGTGAGAGAGAATTGAGGCTCAAAGTGGCAGAAAATAAGAGACATGTAGGTCGTAGGGGACCAACAAAATAAAATTAATTGAAAAAAAAAAAAAAAAAACTTCTTTATTTTGAATAAGCACGAATTTTAAATTTTATTAAAAATACGAAATTAAATTGATATTTAATATTATCTTGATTGATTTTTGGCATTTAAGCATAAAATTTTAGCCTCCTTTCCTGGCTGGTTTGAAAAACGGATTATTATTATTATTATTATTATTATTATTATTCTACGAAATTCCTTTTTTCCTTTTTTGGGTTTTGTTCTTTTTGCCTTTACAGCTCAATGCTTTTGTCCTTCCTTCCCTTTTTTTTTCAATTGTATTCATAAAAAAAAAATGGAGAAAAAAAATATAATAACAAAATAATTATTATTATACAGTTAGCTGCCATAAATATCATCTCTTGTTCCTTCATTGTCCTCGCTAATAATTGAATAGTGTTTTTAATTCTGATAAATGATTTCTAATTTGTTCTATCAATTTAATTTCTCATAATTACTTTATATACAAAATTATAAAATAAAAAGATAAATACTCATAATCTTATCCAACTAAAACTATTTTATAAAATATTTTCAAATTTCTCCTTCAAAATTGGAAAATTTTTATTTCTTATTTTTATTATTACCTTTCTACTTAATAAATGAGTTGTTGAAAATAAATAATAAAAAAAAGTATTATAATAACTCATTATTGTGTAGCTATGTTTTTTCTTTTTTATAGACCGAAAGTGTAGTATAATTTTTTTTTTATTCCAATACAATTAATTGACATTTTAAATCTAAAAAAGTTTGCAAATGATATATTTAACTTGAAATATTTAGAGGAAATTCAAAAAGTTAAAGATTTTTATTATTACGTAAATGTAAAGATTAAGGGGTTAATGATTATTACCACAACCAGCATGGGTTAAATAGTGGATTGGAAACTCATGATTCAAGGGTCAGAATTAAAAATATATAATAACCGAAAATATTTAGTTAAGTTAATTAAGTACAAAAATTAATGAAAATTTACTAATTAATACCCTCACGTGAAGGAGGCAAGCTGATGAGATAAGACAGAAGGATAGCTATAATAATCATAATATGATAAAGTTTTTAATTATTTATATCTGTTTTAATTTTAACTTAATTAATTAAAAGTATCAAACTTTTTTTTTATTAAATAATAAATAAATTATTTTGCAATCATATTGTATCATTCTTGCGAAATCTCACTCCCTCTCCTCTCATTCTTTACTATTATATTTATTTATTTTTCAAGGGATGTTATATTTAATTTATATGATTCAATTCGAGAAAATACATTTAAAATTCTATGCACGAGAAAATACATTTTCAACTTTAATAAAAATTGGATTTAGTTCAACGATACCTTTAAAATATTTTTATAATTCATAAAATTAATTTTTAGGCATGTTTTAAAAATATATATTAGATAAAAAATATGAAAAAAAAATAATTTTAAAAAATTTTAAATTAAACAAATTGGTAATGAACACTCTTACTAAAGTATTTATTTCAAATATTAATTTATGGTACATTAATCTAAAATATATGAATATTTAAGTATTTTGAAAATTATTAATGGGATGAATTGCAATAATGATAATAATAATAGGCAACAAAATATTGAATATTATCGTGCTCAATAAGTCAATTATTTAATAGATATAAAAGATGTACGAAAAAAATAAATACAAGAATGTAAATTCATCAATAAATTTATAAAAAAGAAAAAGAAAAAGAAAAAAACGGGGCATTGAAAATTGTGTACGATTGGCTGAATGTTATTGATATGAACATACCATGCATTGAATGAGATAATAAATTCTCTGAAGGATAATAATTATTTGGGTTTATTTTCTAATTTAAATTCCTCTCCATCTTTATTTTTAAAATTAATTATTATTATTATTATTATTTTGGCTCATCTTTCAAATGAATGTTTTTTTTCCCCTAAGCCAATATATATATATGACAATGGAAGGAACGAAATTAATTACAAACTTGTGGTTGATCGAAAATGATATTAAACTTACTTCCAATTATAATTGTTATTGTAGTACGTGTAACTCGGCCCTGAGTAGAGAATTTAAACTGGGCAAAATTTTAGTGTAAGTGGTTTATTTTATAATTTTAGAAAAATAATACATAAAAGGGAAGATGTTAGACATAATGATTAATAGAATGGGGGCATAAGTTATTTTTATTTATTTTGAGTAATATTGAAGCAAAATAGGAAGGACAGGTTGTCCCCTGGGGTGGTCTCTCCTTCGCACAAGACATTGATTCTAAAATACAATTATTAATTATAAACATCCGATTTTATTTTTTAAGAAAATAGTTAATTACAATTATGGCCTCAGAAAAATCATTGTGCGTGCTGTGTGCACGTGACCCCTGTCCTTGCTTATTCTACTACCCTCCTTTTTCCAGTAAATTATTCAGATTTTATTTTATACTTATGAGTGGTTAATTAGTATCCATTTGAAATTGAAATATATGGAGAGAGAGAGAGAGATTTGCATATAAAAACGAGGTTACCAAAAATAAATGCGTATTTAAATAGTGATTAAGAAGGGCGTTAGGTGTTTTCAGATATTAAAAATAAATTAGTCCGTTCTGTCACCTTGAAACCACAAAAAAAAGGGTTT